GGGGGGGGGGGGGGGGAGGGTGACAGCGGCGGGGGCAGCAGCTGGTGGCCGCGGCTGGCGGAGGTGGGCGGGGCGGTTGGCAGGAGGATGGGGTGGTTTCCGATGGTGCGGACGGCGGAGGTGTCGCTCTTACAGTGAGTAGTTGTTGTTGTTGTTGTTGTTGTTGTTGTTGTTGCTGATTCTGATTCTGGTGGTGTTTTTCATTTTTTTTTTGTTCTGGTTGTTCTTCTTGGCCTTGAGCTTGTTATTGTTATCGTCGCCGTTTTTGTTGGTTTTAATATCGGTGGCAGTGTTTGCGGGGGAAGTTTGTCGACTACGCTGAATAAGTACATTGCCCAAATCCGCAACCCCTTAGTGCAGTACCCCGATCGCCATGCCGTAACAAGATTGTTCTGTCGAGGCGTCGCCCCCGGCTTTCAAGTTGTCCTTGCTTGCCGCACCGACGGAGCCAACTTTATTTCCGGTGAGTGCGGATGGAAGCAGTTTCCGGTCAATATTGATACAAGCAGGTTTAAGTCCACACACCCTACATTGTACACCCCCACGGTTTGCAGAGAGCTGGATAGGCGGAGGGCGGAGACCACGGACGAAGAACGAAACGGAGAAACGCCTCCTCCGCCAACAACAACCGGAGGGGAGGGGGCAGGGAAACGCGAAGACGGGTGCGGTGACGACGGTTCTGATTCCCTCCCTCCGCTCGGTGAAGGCATCCCCCTAGGCGGCGGCACGGCTGCTGCGGCAGTCGGAACAGACAGCGCCAGCACCAGCACCAGCGCCGGCAGGAGGACCCGTTCCTCCCGAAAGGTGCTGTCGCCGCCGCCGCCGCCGCCGGTGGTCGGGATCGAGAAGGCCAAGCGGGCGCCCGTCCGGTTCTACCTGGTGAGGGAGGGGCACAGGTTCGTACCGGTGGGGCGTAACCCCAAGAAGGGCGCGTGGAAGGAGCTGCCAGAGGTGGCGATTCCAACCGCCCGAGAGAGCATCCCGGTCGTGCTGGACCCTTCGCCTTACCAGGTGCGGTGAGGGAGGAGGAGGGCTTGGGACCTCCGGGGGGGGGGCGTTGCATGTAGTTGCGTGGTGATGGCGGCTTTTTCTCTCTGCCTCCCTTTCTATCTCTTTCTCTCCCTCTCTCCCTCTCTCTATTTCTCCCTCTCTCCAGATCTGTCTATCTCTAGCTCTCTCTCAAATAGTAATTCTCTCTCTTTTGTCTGCCTGTCTGTCTGCCTGCCTGTCTGTATTTTTATCTGGCCTGTGGTGCCAACATCTGGGGTCACCCCGTCGGCCTCGATATTTGTTGGCATGCGCATTTCTAGTGCTTTTCAAGCAACCTGTGCAAGAGCCATAGACGGCTCTGTGTTTTTTTTGTTGGTCGACACCCACCGTAGACCCTGTTGGCGTTCTCGATGCATATCTCTACGAGATCCCGCTCAGCTGGATGGGTGGCAATAATTCTTCGCCGACTTGCGGTTAGACGGGAGAGGCATTGTTCCGTGCTATGCATTTGTACCAACCGCGAGATACCTACCATGGGTTGAGATGTATGTAGATGAGAACGACCCATGACCCCCTCTCCCCGCGTTAGGTTTCCCACACGACCGAACTTTCCAAGGTCGATATAGCATTCCGGCTACTGAGGCTGGACAACGCCTACGTGTGCAACGCCGGGCGGTTGGTTGGGGTGATCACCCGGGAAGCCCTGGCCGACTTCGTGGACGATCGCGAGGTCTCCCCTATGGACGACTGCGTGCGGTGCGTTCGCTGGATTGTTCTAAATCTCACCGAAAATTGTTTTGTTGAGCTGTGCGAGTTTTTGTGTTGTTGGGTTTTTGTTGTCGACCGTGCCAGACCACCGCCTTTTTTTTTTATTTTTTGGTAGCAGTACGGCAACGTTCCTTGTCCTCGCGCGATGATTCTCGGTTTGGAATGCTGCGTGAGCGGTACGTGCACCTATCTCGCTGTCTGTGAATATCTATTTCTATGAGTAGGTATCCCTCCTCCCGCACCTTGAGTTGGAATCTCTTCTCCCCCCCCCTTGCCTCTCGCCCAAGGCCTCCGCGGGGATGTTAGGCGTGGGGTCCACGGGGCTGGGGTTGGGGTTAGGGGCCAGGGATTGGGATACGATAAACCCCCTTCTCTATTTCATACGAAGTAGTACTTTACAAACAAAACCCTCCCGGAGGCGGTCCTCTCTCGCTCAAGCCGCCAAAGACTATCCTTGTTATAAATCTTCCTTCGTGTATGACAACGACCCTCCCCCCCGTCCCTCCCGTTGCCCTTCGCCCATATACCTCCATCCCGTGCCAGGCTATGCGGGGCCTTGGCTTGCTGCCTTCCCGGGAGAGCTCCAGCCGACGACAACGCCGGGGGCACCGGCGTCCCCAAGCGCATCAGCCGTCGCAGCATTAGCCGAGGAAAGCTAGCCGCCTCCGCCGTCGTCGGAGAACTTCCTGCGGGACGGGGGGGTGCGACGACGACGATGAACAGCGTATCGACAGGCCGCCGCCGAGGGGCGGGGGGACCAGACGGCACGGTTCGATTTGAACCCACCGCCAGCACCGCCACTACTGCTGATGGCGCAGACACGGATCTCGGCTTCGCGACGAGCGGGCAGCCGCTGCTGGGCGGCCGCGGCGGGCTCAACTGGCGGGGTTATTCCAGTCTGGGCGACAACACCGAAGGCGGCGGCGAGGAGGGTCGGGAAGGGGAAGGTGGCCGCGGGTGCTCTTCCCCCCGGCGCGGTGGGAGGGGGGGGTGGGACGCGGTGTGATAACGTGGTTTAGAGATCTCTCGGCGTTTTTTTGTGTCTACTTCCTGCGCTGCGCTGCTGAGGCACCCACGCGTGTTTACGGTCCCTCCAACGTTGCCGATGTTGGTTATGGTGGTCGGGGATCACTGACCATGGGGTGCTGGTCGCAAGTCAGGGGCAACACGCCCACCGAAGACGACTGGCCTCCTTGATGGCGAAAGGTGGAGGCTGCCTGTGTTGCGTCAGCCCACCCTACTTTCCCAACTGGAACCGCTGGTGTCCTTTGCGCTGGCGCCCCTCGCTATGCGTACAAGCCAGGATTTTTCAAGCCTGAGACTGGAAAAAAAAAATAACGCTGGGACGCAGGAAAGACCTTGTATTTTCAGTCCATTCACACACTTTTTTGTTGCTTGTTCGATAGTGTCCACAGGTCATGTCAGCTCTTATTTGCCGGTGGCGGGGGGGTAATTTGGTCGAGTGCCTTCTAATTCGTTTTGTTGTTGTTTTGTCGAATCATGGCCGTGCTCGCGTTCCCGGGTCTGGTCGTGTTGTGGTCTGAGGTATAGTAGCAGTCGCCGGTAGGGTAGGCCTTGCAACAAGTGGTGTGTCACGGACAAATAAGGTGTTGCTGGAATGTACGGTAGGGGACCCTTGTCCTTCCCTTGTCCGTGAGAGGGCTATACGTGAAGGAGAGGCACTGCGCACAGACAATTGTAGGGCGAGGAAGGGCTCGCTCTCGAAGAAAATGAGAGAGTTGCGAGCTGGAATTACTACGCAGGCGCACCTTTTGCATGCTGAAAAATCGCTCTTTTTTGTGTGCTCACTGCGGTCTGATACGACATTCGCGTGTTGGGGAGGGGCTCGAACATTTTTTCGCTTTGAAATGGGTAGAGGAGGGTGCTTTCTTTCATGTTTGTCTTCCTTCGTTGATGGTGTTGAGATCTTCCCTGACTGGGAGGTGCTGCACTGCTGTATTAAAAACAGCTGACATGTAGGGTTTGGCAAGGAAAGCCAGATGGCTTCAGCTTCAAAGCTGCCGTGCTCGCTGTACGGAAAGCGTTCAATTCAACTTGCTACGTAATTTTTCACGTTGTCCCCCCAACATGAGTCAGAACTCACATGGGTCTTCTTTGGAGCGTGGTATTATTTGAAAAGCGGGCGGGGCTTGGGGAAAGATGCACATGTTCTCTGTAGATGTTTTGATGTGTGCGGTGGTGTCGTGCATTTGTGGGGGTACAATGACCCGGTTGGGTCGTCTAGCTAGTAGAAGTGGAGGATAGGGACCAGAGGGGCAGACGACAGAGTCCAATGATGGGAGAAAAAAAAAATGGTACACATGTTTCTCCTTTGAAGGTGATTGATGTGTGTGGTCATGGCATGCGTTTGTCGGTGAAGGCCAACAGAGGGTAACATGGGATGAACTTTTTTTTACGTCATCACATTTTCTCTGGGCGTCGTTCCTTACACCATACGATGATTCCCGATTTTAAAACCGCCAGATGATGAGGGTGCCGCTCGCAGGCATCGCGAAGAACTGACAATATGCAGGCAGGATGCACGAGTGAGTCCACTTTTGTTAGACCAAACAATGTGCTGTGTAGTGTATCGTACCGTGAGCGAAAAAGAAGATACAGCTTCGAAAAATGCCTTACGTTGTACTGGACTCTGTGTGAGTCTACTACAATCTTCGTCGCAATTCATTCACACGGTTGAGCCGAGCTAGTGTGCTTTTCTAGGAGATGCATTCTACTCCTTTACGCGAATGTTTGTTGGTTGGTGTCGGGTTCATCCTTTTCAGGGACGAACGAAACACGTTCGTTGCAGACCGCAGAAAGAGAGCGGACAGCCAAACAAACGTGCTGGAGCTACAGCAACGAACGATTGTATGCATTAGACTCGATGATGCCGTCAGAACACAGGAGGAGGCACTTAGAGCCGAGGCGGGTGTTAAAGGCCATTTTGTTTAAAACGGGGGTATCTCTCCGCCGAATTCACGGAGCCCCTTGATATTTTTTTTTTAGGAGTGGCCAAAATCGGTTACACCCGGCCCCAATCCGGCCACTATCGGGTACACTTGTTTTTCACAGTCGGCAGCGCCCTCCTGGCGCCATCTGATTGGCCGACGCCCGCCCCTACCCGGCCCTGACCCTATTCCCACCGGGTGCACCCGATCTTGGCTACTCACCCCCCGGAGGGGTACCCGATCTTACTCCCGCCTACCCGTAAATGGCTGGGCTGTTCGACCAACAGACCACCAGCAGACCACGCTCACGAACACACGTCACCAACACCCCGCACTCGAGTTCCGACGCTTCCGACGGCGGGCGGAGGCGGACCTAAAGCGGCTTACGCGGCGGAACTCTCGTTTGAAGTGGATCAGTGGATCTCTCTCCTGCAACGCGGCGGAACTCTCGTTCGAAGTAGATCTCGCTCCTGCAAGTAGATCTCGCTCCTCAACCCACCAAGTTTCTCGTAGTGAATCTCGGCACTCTTGCCTGAACGGTAGACTGGCATCGGCAGAATATGAGCGATGAAGTAGAGAACACCGCGGTCCTCGCGCAAGGCGCGCGCTACTTCACCACCAGCCATCTTAGGACAGCGTTCATGCTGCGTGTACCACCACTCTCTCTATCTTTCCCCATCTCCTGTGGCAAGCCCGCAGTTCCTTGTCTCTCCCACGTACTCACGAGAGGTCGAAGTCAAGGAAGTAGAGTGCCGGCCCGCACTTAAGAATATGGCACTTAAGAATTTGATACTAAAAAAATCCAAAACTTAAGAGTGTACCGATAAGAACACGTGCTCAGCTGCACGCCCTGTTAGGAACAAGAGCACACACCTGGGGTGCAAAACTGCTGCTACAAATAAGAACGACAGCAATGCATGCACGCCCTGTTAGGAACAAGAGCACACACCTGAGGTGCAAAACTGTTGCTACAAATAAGAACGACAGCAATGCAGCGGCTGCCAGATAAGAATACTCGCAGGGGGAGGGAGGGAAGAGGGGGGAGTGATCCCAGAGTACAGGGTACTGGATTTGGGAGGGGTACATACCCCACATATCAACATGTGTATTTTTTTAGAGGGGAAGGGTGGGCATTGTACGCACGCGTCGTGCCCCTGGGTGCCCCCGAGAAAAGTGTAATGCGCGACCGGGGTGAGCTCCCCAAGGCGAGGTCCATTCTTATCATGGACAACTTGCACGCGCAGACCACGGACGGACGAGTTCACGGAGTATCTTGCGAAGCACTGCAACACTCTCGCCTGGTATGGCCCTTCGGAGTGCACGGACGAGGTGCAGCCAGTTGATTCAG